ATGACACGTATACTTTATATTTCACAAAATTCCATCAAATACACTGGGGCAGAGATCCAGATTTCAAGTCTCTTTTGTTCAAAACATTATCCTACAACATAAAAGTTATTAATTTCTTTATTTAGTCAATAATTGTTCACCCCCTTCTCACGGTTAGGAGATCTAACTCAAGAATCGACCAGGAATTTTTTCTCTCTAAATTGTTAGGTTAATCTAAATAATTTATTTTCATTAAAATATTAATGTTTTGTTTTTTTTTAAAAAAAATCCTAAAATTAACATAATCAACTGAATTTAGTTGAATGAATTGAGTTATTAAAATCTAACCAAGTTAATAATTTTTTTAGTTCAATTCATAATATTTTCCAAGTCAATTTTCGAGTCATTTACATGCTATTAATAAATGTGTCCATGACTTTTATAAAAATAAAAAAAATATTTTTCAACCAATGAATTGATTTTATTTGTAATAAAATATGTAGTTTGAGTTATATCTAAGTACCTAAAATTCGCATGACTAAATTTGGGTTCGTATATTCGTAAACCTAGCATATCAGTGTAATTAAGTCTGATAAAAAAAGGGGAAAAAAAGGACTAAAACCTCATAAAGTTATAAAATGCCTGGCTATTATGTCTCCTCTGAAAAATCAATTATACTATAATTCAGGAATTCCATAATAAATCGTCGTAGAAAAAAAGAATATGCCATATCTCTTAGAATCGTGCCTGTTGCTTTGATTTAGCAAATCAAATAACATGAGAAACTTAGTGGCAATTGAATTCTATTATAGATCTCCAAGTCAACTAAAACATATGAAAATATTTCTTCATCATAGCTACCGATCCCTAACTGCTACTCAACAATTAAAATATATTAATTTTTTTTTAATTATTTTTTTAATATGTTTGAGAGTAGGGTTGACTTTCATTTCTAATAAATTTTAAATTTTTTATATGTTAATATCAAAAATAAATTAAACCGATAATTTCTAAAAAGAAAAGAATTTTATTAATTGAATAACACTTTATTTTCTTGAATTTAATGTGATACCACACCAACGAGGGATATGTTTAACAACTCGTCCTATGAGTAAACTTAAATTTAACAACTGTTCAAACTAATATTTGTTTTGACTGAATAAGTAGGTGAAGTGAAAAATGTATGGGTTTGGCACCCTTGAAATTTGAACGTTGTTGAATTTCCATCCATTCCCTCCTCACCACAAAATTGTGGTCGAGTTTTGCCCATGATGACTTGGTTTTCAATTTTTTTGACTTATTTTTTTCATCATTGTCCAATCTTTAATGCTCGTTTGGGAATGTGTGTTGGGTTGTAACTTGTCTTTCTAAATCATAATCGATAATTGATAGATCAATCTCACGCATGTTAATAAAAATCTTATGTGTAATATTTCGAATTGTGAATCTTCACTGTTAATTTTTGTTTATAATTGATTTTTTTCTAAAAAATAAGAAGAAAAAAAAAGAGTGAAATAGAGGCCATGTTTATTTCCTGAAAAATAGTTTTCGAGAAATTATTTTCTAAACTTTCCTATGTTTGTTTGTCATTAAAAAAGTTGGTCAACGAAAAATACTTTCCAGTCAACGAAAAATACTTTTCAGTCAAAGAAAAATTTGGCTTGTTTTCAGGAAAGTGTTTTTTTTTTTAACTGTGTTTATTTTCCGGAAAATGGTTTCCAGGAAAATACTTTCCAAACTTTCTTGTGTTTGTTTTTCAAAAAGTGATTTCTAGGAAATCACTTTCTAAATTTTTTTATGTTTGTTTGCTGTTAGGAAAGTTGGTAAACGGAAAACACTTTCCAGTCAAAGAAAAATTTAGCTTGATTTTCAGGAAAGTGTTTTCCTGAAAAATTTAGGAGGAAAACACTTTCTGTAAGTTGTGAAAAATTTAGAAATGTCATTATTTGCTGATTATATCAAATTTGATCCTCAAACTTTTGATTACTATATATATTTTATTTTGAATATTTATTTTTCAATTTCATTTCTTAAAATTTAATTTTTATATTAACTTTGATCCTCATTTTTATAATTGTTATTTGTTTTTGTCCTATTATTTTTTTATTGAAATTTTTTATCTATTAAATTTGGTCCTTATTCTTTTGATTGTTACTTATTTTATTTGAAATACTTTATGAAATGTTAATTATTATTATTTTAATTCCTTTATCTTTTTTTTTTAAATTTGATTTTTATTATTTTGATTATTATTTATTTTATTTGAGATAATTTATGATTTTTTTTTTAATTTCATTATTATTCAACTTTTTAATTTGTAAGATTTGTTTCTCATTATTTTAATAAACTTGATAAAAATAAAACATTAATAAATTACTTTCCAGTTCATTTTTCATAATATAACCAAACTCTGTAAAGTGTTTTCCAGTTTATTTTCTATAACACTACTAAATATTAAAAAATAATTTATTTTTTAAGAATTCATTTTTTTCAAAATTCATTTTATAGGAATTCATTTCCTTCAAAATCCACTTAAAAAAAAAAACAATTTTTATACAAACAAACGACCGGAGTAACATGCTATTATTTCTTACATCATGAAAACATGATTTCGATCTTGTGCGTTGTCTAGTTTATATGACGACTATCATGGAATCTTATAAAATAACCGAGGAAAAATACATTGATGGAGAAGAAGCATTTTTCCAAGTTTTAAGGCCATGCATGACCTTCACGCTTTTGAATCTGTGGTTTCATTGAACTTGCTAGCAAGTTTTACTGCAAATTCTGTAATATTCTTTTCAGAGCTTCCACCTTCACCCATGGCTGTTTTGGCTAGTTTCTTCCATTTCTCAGAATTCCTTCTCATCTCACTCCCTCTTTCGCCTTCCATGACTTCCCTTATACACTTTTCTAACTCTTCCTTAGTGACAATCCCCTTTTCATTTGCCTTCACTCTAACTCCTACACGCCAAACATCTGCTATGTACTTCGCATTTGTTGGTTGATCAGTCCACTGTGGCATTGCCACCATTGGCACTCCTAAGCTCAACGCTTCAAGCGTTGAGTTCCACCCACAATGAGTCATGAAGCAACCAACAGACTTGTGAGATAGAACCTCTAGCTGAGGGCTCCAGGTCACAATCAGACCCTTCTCTGAGGACCCCTCCATAAAGTTGCATGGAAGTTTTTTCTCTTCTGATTCTCTGACTACCCACAAGAAGTAGCAGCCACTCCTCCATAGGCCCCAGGCTATTTCTGCCATTTGCTCTTCTCCCAGAGCAGCCAAGCTTCCAAATGACACGTAGACCACGGAGCCAGTTTCCTTTGAGTCTAGCCATTCCATGCAACCGTCGAGAGCAGGTTTGAAGAGGCTGAGGCCATACTCGGTGTCATCCTCTAGCTGCCTGTCCAAGTAAACTGATGGAATCATGGGTCCTATTGGCTTGATTGACCTCTGGCCTGCCAGCCAGTTTACCACCTGATACAAATAAGCAAAATCTTGAGTACCATAGAATTGAAGGCAGCATGTTTTGCAAATATGGTAATATCTATTAGTACGAGCAAAGAAAAAAGAATTCAATTAGGAATTCGAAGTACTGCTACTTTTCTTTATGTAACTTCTTCAGGGGTACCTCCTCCTCCAGGGTGTTGAAACTGTTCACAAAGACCCAATCAGCTCCCCTGAAATTCAAAAACTGATTGACTACTAAGGTAAGTATAGCTGAGTATCCTGATTCCATGTCGTGCACGAATGATGGCAGTTCATCAACGTCTAGAGGTGGCAGCCCTGGAACTGATACAGGAAACTTCTCTAATGGGATCTTTAGCTGCCCCTCATGGATTTGGTAGTAGACAGAGTTAACAGCACATGACTGTGTGAAGAAGGAAGCCCCAGTGAGGCCAAGGTGTCTAGCTATCTCTAGAACCCAAGGCATGAATGAGTCATACACTAGGCAACTTACTGGATGCCCAGAAGAGATACCTAGTTCCACAACGAGTTGTGACAGTTTTTGTGTCACTGTAGCTTGGAATTGTTTTAGAAGGTCAGCTATGGAACGGCTGCCTGTATCAGAACCATCAGAAATGGTCACCACTTTGACACAGCCAAGCGAGGCAGGCGTCGAGTGCGTCGGACTTGAGAAGATGACCAGCGTTACTTGTAGTCCTTTGGAGGCTAGGTGCTTGGAGAACTGGATCATGGGGTTAATGTGACCTTGAGCAGGATAAGGTATGACCACTACATGACAGTTTCTTTCTTGCTTCTCCATTTCTCCAATTAACAAAACCAGTCTTTGTGCTTTTCATCTCGTGTAGGAGTACTCCTGCCTGCATTTATGCATGCCTATTGCGTCCAAATTGTGTGGTCCGAAAGAACACTGCTGGTGTGATGATCATATTGTTGTATTAACATTATTTCCTAGATAGTTGTTTTTTATGAATTTCACTTACGTGAGAGAAAGGAGTACAATTTTCGTTATAAAGATGTTTGATAATTTTTAAATTAAATTAAATTTGGAAATTTTAATAAGATTTCATGTTTTTAACCATTTTAAGTACCGATAATTAAATTCGATGCCAACTCTTTTAATTTAGAATTCTAAAATAAAAAAATTAAATTTAAAACGAAGCTTCTCAAAACATCTATTTATTATTTTCTTAGAGATATTTAAATAAAATAAAAATAATATAAAAAAAAAATAAATTGAATTCGATTTTTTTTTTAAATACGACAATTCTCATACGTATTGGCTTATGTATGCAATTCGAAAGGAAGGTAGATGGCTCCAGCCCTGAACTTCAACTGCCAGTCATTTTCTTGTCTTTATGGTTTGATTGATGACACTATTGATCCAATATCTGAAATCAAACAACATGTAATGTGTAAGGTTAATGCTAGTAAAAACAAGTGTGCAGTCAATTTCATCATTTCTATGGTAAAACTAAAGCCTGTTACTGCAGGCTTTTCAGAGTAGTTGGAAGTTTACTAACAATTACTTTTCAAAATAGTTTTTATAAACCTACAATTTGGCGCTGATATTATCAAGCTCAGCTAGTGCGCACGGCACCTACTAAGACTCATTTGTCGTCTCCTTGCTCAAGAAGGCTTTCTGTGTTGTAACTACAGCCCCATGCACTCTCCTTCCAAATCTGCTCAACTTCAACAAATGCCAGCCCCATGGTTTCTGGGACATACATAATCACAAACACAACTGCGAGCACTGCTATGCCAGCAAGCATCAAGAAAGTCGAACCTGTTCCTACTGCTTCGGCAATTGAAAGGAAAGTTTGGGCTACTATCAGATTGGAGATCCAGTTAACAGTAGCTGACATGCCCCCGCATATTCCTCGATATTGTTCCGGATATATCTCTGAGTACACATTCCATGGAACAGGTCCCATTCCTGGTGAGAAGCAAGCAATATAAAGGGCTAACCCCAAAACTGCAATCCACCCATAGAGTTCATTTGAAGAACCAGATGACGTGCCAAAAAATGCTCCAGCGAGAATGAAAAGTGATGCAATTACACCAGCTAAGCTTGAGATGGCCAACTTTTTCCTCCCGAAATGATCAATAAGGTAAATGCCAAGAACTGTTCCAGCGGCATTCATGGCAGCAATAAGAAGGGACAGGAGAAGTGCTAACTGGTTGGAACTAAAACCAGCCATCTGCACAATGGTTGGGCTATAGTACATGACTGTGTTGATACCAGTGAACTGCTGAAAAGCCTGCAACATCACAGAACTCTCGGTTATCATTTGTTATGGTGCTTGTTTAGGAGGGTTTTCTATTTACTGCTGAAATTTTGTTAGCTCATGTCTCCTTATGTGTTTCAACTGGACACTAGTGTATTTCAATGGAAAGAATATCAGATGACCCATCTTTCAAACACCGTCACGATGCCAGAAGCACTTAAACTCGTATGATTACCGAAATGTACGGTCAATAAGCAGCAAGGGACTCAATATCGATAAGAGATGATGGATAGCGCACACATATGAATTCTATTACCGGAAGAAAAGAGGAGTTAGGCATGGACCTTTGCATCAAAGCACTCCAAAATTGATACAACACCAGATCTCTATATTCAGTAACCAGCAAGCGAATCAATGGACAAAAAAATGGCAGTCAACTGGCTCTGCACCACAAACTTTCTATATCAACTCCACTAAGTGTCTATCTCTGTGGTTTGGGCCAGAAAAGTAGGGTAAACATTGGTTTTTCCTTTTCATATTTGGAAAAATAAGAATATAGTCCAACCCTATGAAAGAGCAAAGAGGTTCAGCATCTTGTTAAAATACTATTAGTGATGCCATCTTAAAGCAACAGATTAAACTGCTAATATAAAAAATTATTTGTTTCCTCATGGGAATTACTGTCAGATAGGCAAAAAAAATAGAACCTGGTTTATAAATTGATTGCAAGTTCGCACATTAGTGATTATGCATGGATGCCAGCTTGTATTAGCAGCACAGCAAACACACAATGTCAGTCATTCTAAGGCCAGCGATGGAATTTAGTAGATAAGGGGGTTTGCCAGATCTTTTAGCTGAAGTCCAGCCCCAACAAGAAATGCAAGTCTGATTTCTTTTGATTTGAACACATCTGAGATTTTGACATCATTCCTTTTCTGGCACTCTTCCTCTTCAGTAATAGAAAGGTGATCAATTTCATCCTGTAACCGAGCAACGTCATATATTTTAGAAAGCATTGCAATGGCGTTAGCTTTGTCGTCCTGCATATTAAGATCGATGTTATTTAGATGTAAATACATGAAAAGAAAGTAGCTTATGTCAAAAAGGAATTCAGAAAATATTTTCTTCAAAAAAGTATCCTTGCTGTGTATACCTTCAAGAAGAGCCACCGAGGAGACTCTGGCAAGCATCACATAATGCATAACTGAATCACAGCGGGCAGACCATCCACTCCAACCATCCACCTCCAAGTTAATAATATTTATGTAATTTTATTTATTAAAAGTAGAATAGTATTTTCAGTTTAATCTATATATAATTTATATGTATTTAGGTTAACATCAAGCACTCATAATACAGAGATTATTTAGAATTGTAGCCTCCATTTTGTGTTTGATCTTTAATTATTTTAACATGGTATCAGAGCTGATTTTATGAAAAGAAGCTTAATCCCGAACACAACTTCGTAGATCCAACTTTGATATTTCATCAGTTTTTGCAATTATTCTGGTATTTCATCTTTCATTCAACTTTTGGAATTTGATATTTGCATTCAGTTTCTGCAAATTTGTTTTGTGTTTTGGAGTAATCGTATAATTTTGAGAAGATATTTGTTTAGTTTCTACAATCTCTGTTTAGTTTCTGCAATTTGGTATTTGGTTTTCTGCTGCTTTTGCGTTCTAGTTTTCTGTGATTGTTGATTATGGCTACTGAAAGAGATGATTCGCTTCAGTCTGTGAGTGTGAGGTTGGATGAGAAGAACTATTCATATTGGAGCTATGTAATAAGAAATTTTCTTAAGGGTAAGAAGATGTGGGGATATATTAGTGGAATTTAAGTGGTACCTAAGAATACTGAAGAAAAAGATACTGCTTTGATAGATGCATGGGAAGCAAACAATGCAAAGATCATTACCTGGATCAACAATTCTGTTGAGCATTCTATAGGTACACAGTTGGAAAAGTATGAGACAGCAAAGGAGGTTTGGGATCATTTGCAACGGTTATTCACGCAATCAAATTTTGCAAAACAGTATCAGTTAGAGAATGACATACAAGCTCTTCACCAGAAGAATATGAGTATTCAAGAGTTCTATTCTGCCATGATAGATCTTTGGGATCAATTAACTCTTACATAATCGGCAGAATTAAAAGCATGTGGTGCTTATATTGAACGTAGAGAGCAGCAACGATTGATACAGTTTTTAACAGCACTTCGTAGTGATTTCAAAGGACTTAGAGGTTCAATTCTGCATCGTTCTCCACTGCTTTTTGTTGACTCTGTTGTTAGTGAGTTATTGGGTAAAGAAATACGTCTTCAGTCTTATTCTGAAAAGGGTGTTATTTCTGCTTCAAATCCTTTTATATTAGCAATACCTTCTAAGCCATTCTCTAATCATCAGAACAAGCCTTATACAAGGGTTGGCTTTGATGAGTGCAGTTTCTGTAAGCAGAAAGGTCATTGGAAGGCTCAGTGTCCTAAGTTGAGACAGCAGAATTAAGCTTGGAAGTCTGGCAGTCAATCACAATCTAATGCTTATAGACCACCTTAGGGTTATAAACCACCACACCACAAAACTGCAGCGGTAGCTTCCCTAAGCTCTATTACTGATCCTAATACTTTGACTGAACAATTCCAAAAGTTTCTCTCTTTGCAGCCACAAGCAATGTTCGCTTCTTTTTCCATAGGTCAGTTGCCTCATAGTTCCTCAGGTATGTCACACTCTGAATGGGTCTTAGATTCTGGTGCTTCCCATCATATGTCTCCAGATTCCTCATCTTTTTCCTCTGTATCCCCTTTGTCCTCCATTCTTGTCATGACTGCTGATGACACTCCTATGCCCTTAGCAGGTGTTGGCTCTGTTGTCACACATCACTTGTCTCTCGCTAATGTTTATCTTATTCCAAAACTCAAATTAAATCCTACATCTGTTGGCCAAATATGTGATTCTAGTGATTATTTAGTCATGTTTTCTGGTTCTTTTTATTGTGCACAGGATCTACAGTCTCAAAAGTTGATTGGGACAGGCCGTAGGGAGAATGGACTATATATTTTAGATGAGTTAAAAGTGCCAGTTGCCGCTACTGCCGCTGCTACCACTACCGTTGGTTTGTCTTCCTTTCGTTTGAATATTTCATCTTCTAGTTTTTATTTATGGCATTCCCGTCTAGGTCATATTTCATCTTCTTGTTTGAGATTTTTACCATCCACAAGAGCTTTAGAAAATTTGAAAACTTGTGACATTTCTGATTGTAATGGATGTAAATTGACAAAATTTTCCACCTTACCTTTTAATCGAAGTATTTCTATTTCATCTTCACCATTTGATTTGATTCATTCTGATGTATGAGGACCTTCTCCTGTTGTCACAAAAGGAGGGTCTCGATATTATGTCTCTTTTATTAATGATCATACTCGTTATTGTTGGGTTTATTTAATGAAACATCGTTCTGAATTCTTTGAGATATATGCAGTTTTTCGAGCTCTTATCAACACTCAACATTCTGCTGTGATCAAATGCTTTAGGTGTGATTTGGGTGGGGAATACACTTCTAATAAATTTTGCCAATTGCTTGCCTTAGATAGAACCATCCACCAAACTTCATATACAGATACTCCTGAGCAAAACGGTGTTGCTGAAAGTAAACATAGGCATATTATTGAAACTACTTGTTCTCTCTTATTATCTCCTTTTGTTCTTAGTGAGTTTTGGGGAGAAGCTGTTCTTACTGCTGTAAGTTTGATTAATACAATTCCATCTTCTCATAGTTCGGGTCTATCTCCTTTCGAAAGGTTATATAGGTATGTCCCTGATTATTTCTCATTTAGAGTATTTAGTTGTACTTGTTTTGTTCTTCGTCCTAATATAGAATGCAATAAGCTATCCCCTCTATCTGTTGTTTGTGTTTTTCTAGGTTATGGTGAAGGTAAAAAGGGGTATTGTTGTTTTGATCCAATAACTCAGAAACATTATATGTCTCATCATGTTGTCTTCCTTGAGCATATACCTTTCTTGTCTATTCCATCCACTGCTCATAGCTTGACTAAATCTGATCTTATTCATATAGATCCTTTTTTTGAGAATTATGGTAATGATACCTCTCCCCATGTTCGATCAATTTGTACTCATAACTCTGCAAGTACTGGTACTTTACTCTCTAGCACACCTAAAGCTCCATTCTCATCTATAACCCCTCAAGCTTCATCTGAGATTATAGATCCACCTCCACGTCAGTCCATCCGCATT